TTTAAGACAGGGTCTCTCTCTGTTGCCCAGGCTAGAGAGCAGTGGTGCGATCTTGGCTCACTGCGACCTCCGTCTCCCTCCAAGGCTCTAGCCATCATCCCACCTCAACCTCCTGAGTAGCTGGGAGTATAGTGGAGCACCACCATGCCCAGCTATGTGTTTGATTGTTTTTGTTTCTGTGGCGGTGGGGATTCACCATGTTGCCCAGGCTGGTCCCAAAATCCTGAGCTCCAGTAACCCTCCTGCCTCAGCCTCCCAAAGGTCTGGGATTACAGGCGTGAGCCATAGGCCTCCAGTTAGTGGAATTAACACTTCTCTGATTTCTCTCTCCGTTGAACTTCCTGGGGGCACTCCCAAGTCTCTTCTTAGGTTGTTTCATCCCGTCTTCCTCTGGTTTCTTGTTGGCTCCTTCTGGTCCATCCGTACCACCCTCAGGGCTCTCTCTTGGGCCTCTTTCCATTCTCTGCATTCACCTTAGCCCTGTGATCTCATCCACCCCACGCTCTCCAGTCCACCTCCAGCTCAGATCCTCACCCCCTCAGTGTCTGCCAGTACAGGCGAGCACCTGCCATCTCCGTGTGGATGGCCCGGAGACACCGCCAACTCCACAGGTCCAAAACTGGACTCTGTTTTTCTCCCCAAATTGTTTCTTCTACAGAAACTCGAGAGACATTTCTACCTCCTTTTTTTTTTTTTTTTTTTTTTTGAGACGGAGTCTCAATCTGTCACCCAGACTGGAGTGCAGTGGCACGATCTGGGCTCACTACACCTTCCGCCTCCTGGGTTCAAGGGATTCTCCTGTCTCAGCCTCCTGAGTAGCTGGGACTTCAGGCACCCACCATCACACCCAGCTAATTTCTGTAGTTTTAGTAGAGACAGCTAAAAATATGTTTAGCCGTGTTGGCCAGGCTAGTCTAGAACTGACCTTGTTGAAGACCCTGTGATCTGTCCTCCTCGGCCTCCTAAAGTGCTGGGATTACAGGCGTGAGCCACCAATCTCGGCTTTACCTCCTTTCTCTTTCACCTGCCTCTCTCTTCATCCAACCGGTCTCAGCATTCTCTTGATTTCATCTTATTGCTTAGAACCTGTTTTTCACTGCCAGAGGCCTGGCAACCATAATAACAGCAATGATTTAGTGAGCCCCTACGTGTACTGTCCTAAGCACTGTGCACACATGGCCTCATTTAATTCTTTTAGAAATGCCATGGAAATAGGAAGGAACAGGGGCACTGAGAAGTTAAGTCATTTGTTCCAGGTCATATGGCTGATGAGTGACAAAGCCCAGATAGGCCCCTAGCTCTTGCTGACTGCACAGCCTTGGTGTTCGGCACTGTTATGCAGCATTTATTTCAGGATCTCATTCCTGGCATAAATTGTTGCATCAGCTCTCATCCTAGTTTTCCTGTCTTCAGTCTTTCCCTCTCGTCAGTATAGCTACTAATGAGGTAGTTATGTTTGTTGTTTCCTAAAGCTGAAATCCAATACTGAAATTCTCCTTAAACCATATCAGCTGCTCTCTGCAGCTCTTTAAATAAAACCTGTCCTCTGGAGCCCCTAAAGTGCCTACTACCCTTTACCTGACCTGTTTCCTAATTATCTTTCATGACCTGCTGGAAATTGTCCCTGGATCCCCAAGACGGTGTCAGGTGATTTATCAGTTAGGACTAGATTCAGTTACATGTAACAACAATCCCAATTAATGTGGGCTTAAAAGAGATTGTTAATCCATTCTCTTACTGTGACTGGAACAGGCCATTCAGCGTTGGTATGGTGGCTACATCTTATCACCAATGACCCAGGGTCCTTTCATCTTTCTGCTCCACCGTTTCTAGCATTGGCTTTTATCTTTAATGTCCCCTCATGGCTGCAAGATGACTGCTGCAGCTCTATCACAGTGACATTCCTAGCACAGGAAGGAGGGGGGTGAAGGCAAAATGTGTGCCTTTCCATCTTGGCTTGGCTGCTTTCATAATCTTTCCCAGAAGTTCCACAATGACTTCTGTTTACGTGTCTTTGCTCTCTCACAAGAGAAATTGTGCTGAGCATGCTGAGTTCTAGGATCCAATCAAGAATATGATATTGCATATAGACAGTTTTCATTTTTAGTTATATATCCTTTCACTAGCTCTTGATATGATGATTTTGTAATATCACTTTCTATAGAGAGAATAGTAAGATAACTCAGTCTTCTTTCTAACATGGCAGATCGAAATTCATTTTTAAGTTATTGAAAGTTTAAATTTTTTTTTTTTTTCAGCTTGGGCCAGGCGAGGTGGCTCACGCCTGTAATCCCAGCACTTTGGGAGGCCAGGACAGGTGGATCATGAGGTCAACACATCGAGACCATCCTAGCCAACATGGTGAAACCTCGTCTCTACTAAAAATACAAAAATTAGCTGGGCGTGGTGGTGTGAACCTGTAGTTCCAGCTACTTGGGACGCTGAGGCAGGAGAATCACTTGAACCCAAAAGGCGAAGGTTGCAGTGAGCTGAGATCAAGCCACTGCACTCCAGCCTGGGCAACAGAGCAAGACTCTGCCTCAAAAACAAAACACAAAAAAATTTCAGCTTTACAACTCACTTTTGGTACTGGCATATAAGTGTTTAGAATTGTTGTTGACTTTGGGAAGACCTTTATGAATTTTTTTCACATATGAGCTGCAAATTTATGGTGTGATAATAATTGTGTGCACCGCATTGTCAAATATATTTCTGATGGAAAAAAGTCTTTCATTTCACTTGTCACATTTCACAATGACACAAGCCATTCCAACATCTGTCCACCCAACAATAACTGAATAACTGAGCTATCCATGAAAAGAACCACGGATCACCTAGTGTCTCTCATGAAGTCCAAAGTAAATATAGGCCATCTCATCCTCAACTAGTCAGATCTCCAAAATACTCATCATCACTCCAATAGCACCAGTATGAGAAGTTGGGAAAAGTCTAGTTAATTAATAAAAAGTATTATTTTTTATGGATTTTTTTCATGTTTATTTGTCAGCATTCTAAACTTTATAATTTACAGTGATTTTGCCTCATTGTCAATATTTTCATTCTTAATTTTATATTCATCGTTTGCATTATTTTTCCTAAAGAGGATCCAAAATGGCATTAGCTTCAGGCCCCAAGGAAAATGGATCCAGGCCAGGTGCAGTGGCTCATGCCTGTAATCCCAGCACTTTGGAGGCCAAGGCAGGAGGATTGCTAGAGCACAGGAGTTTGAGACCAGCCTGGGCAACACAGGGAGGCCTTGTCTCTGCAAAAAAATTTTAAAAACTAGCCGGGCATGCTGGCGGGGGGCTGTGGTCCCAGCTACTCACTCAGGAGGCTGAGGTGGGAGGATTGCTTGAGCCAGGAAGGTGGAGGCTACATTGAGCAGTGATTGTGCCACTGCACTTCAGCCTGGGCAACAGACTGAGACCCTGTCTCTAAAAAAATAAACAGTCCGAAAAATGGACCCACTCTTGACCAAGAGTTTACCCTTCACAGACATCAGTGAAGAGCTACTAAAAAAGGGTCTTCAGAAAGAAGCTGAACCTCAAAAGAAGACAGGGGATTCAATAAACAATGAAATAAACATTAATTGAATAATAATCAAAAAGAATTCCTCATTGTCCTGGCTATGCCACATAGTATGGCCTTCTAGATCCCATGCTGGCCTCTGCTCACTGCCAGCTTTCACCATCACCATCCCCACTGGCCACCTACTAGCAAGCAGCCCAGGAATACTTGCTAGATAAACAAATAGACAACAAGCTGAGAGTTGAGCCCCAATCTTTTGCTTTCCAGCCCTGTTGTTTAACGAGCGTTGCTAAGTATTCCGCCCTCTTCTCTGCCTCGGCGGGCAGAATGAAGTAAGGATGGTAGTCTTTTTCTGACAACTGGTCCTTTCCTCATTTCCCTGAGTAGCTGGGAACACTTTGGGAAGACCTTTATGAATTTCATAGGATCTAGAAGGCCATACTATGTGGCATAGCCAGGGCAATGAGGAATTCTTTAAAATTGTTTTGCAGATACA